GCGTTCCGGGGCTGTGGGGGTGTGGCGGTGCGGTGGGGGGGCTGGTGGGCGGGGGGGGCGCGGGGGGGGGGGGGGGGGCGTGGGGGGGGATACGAAACTGCAGGGTGTTTGAGTGTTTGCGATGATTATTTAGACATACACATCCATAAGGGTACCTTAGTACACCCATACTCTCGCGTGCAATGTCATTGGTTTCTGAGGGGAAAGAAAAAAAACAGTTATCCTTTTATATCGAGTCAGACTCGATAGAAAATCGTTGAACACGATGATTCCCCCAATCAACGACATAGAGATTCCCATGAAGATCAATGGACAAACCCACGACGCTGTACAACTGATTGGCCCCAGCTCCTTCACCATGCCCACCTGCAATAACAGTGCCCTGCTCCGCTCCTTGAGGCCAACGCATCACTCGATCATTCACATTGTCTGCCACATACAGGCTACCCAACGCATCGACGAATAGTCCGTTAGGATATGATAGTTGTGATAGTGCAGTTCCATCACCCCGACCACCAGCAACAACAATTCCTTCTGTTGCATCTTTATTCCATTTCATCACACGATGATTTGTCAAATCTGATACGTAGACAGCCTGTTGTTGATCGACAAAGACGTAGGACGGGTAGTCCAATTGATTGAAACCAGTACCGTTGCCGTTGCCACCAGCCACGATAGTTACACTCTTATCTCCTATTTGATATCGTTTTACTTCATATCTTTCCTTGTCACAGACGTAAAGATTTCTCTGATCATCCACAGTCAGCCCATAACAATAAACGTTGTCGATGAAGACTTCTCCTTGAGTTGTTCCGCTACGACGAGACCATCGCATGACCCGCCGATTCCCGCTATCACAAATAATGAAGCTATTCGATTCTTTGTCAACCGTCACATCAGTGGGGTTAATCAATTGATCCAATCTATTTCCTTGACCATTACCACCAGCTACTACTTCTCCATTATTATCGCCCATTTTCCATTGCATAATACGATTGTTGAATTGATCAGCGATTACCACGGTTTGGTTGTCATCAACGAAGAGACCAAGAGCGAAGAAGAGTTGATTGGTGGCACTGCCTCCTCCATGGCCACCAGCGACAGTTATTCCATTCTGTATCCAGCTGGCGTTGGCTGGTATATTAGGTAGGGCTACCATAGACGAGAAGAAAAAAACTATTTACGTTCTTAGCCTTTGAAGAGATAGTTATATATTTCTCTTTCAACAACCGAGGAAGGTTCTGAAAATGAGACACCGATCTTTTCCGAAGAACGCTTTCTAAAAATTTCGGTGAGTCCATTATTCCTATCGTCGTATGGCATATGGGAAAGCTTCTTTTTCTAGCTATGATTTGAGGAATCTGGTGAAATTTCATAGCCATCCATACAAGGAGGAAACGGCGGATATTCAGGATTTTGAATCCCAATAAAATTCCGAGAGATCCAAAAAATCTTATGAAAATCCGAAAATCGCATGAAAATCTCAAAAATCCCATAAAAATCCCAAAAATCTCATGAAAATCCTAAAAATCTCATGTGGATTCCAGGATTAAGATTGAAACAACTAGGACTTTATGTTTGTGTTAAAGGACAACTATACACGAATAAGTGCAATCCTACGATTATCCGACTTTTTCTTATAAAAATAGTGCTCATTCAATCTCTTTGTGTTTTAAAACTTATAGTTCCATAAAGATAGTGTGGAGAATAGTGGCACTGTTCCTTCTAAATGTTATCTAATATGAGATATGTGCTTAGGTTATTGTTGATAAATAAAATTGAACGATTAAAGTGTAGTACAGGTAAGGAAAGTTAGTAACCGATTCAACTAGTTCTTGCTGACATTCACTCTTAAATGTAGGCTAGCTTTTTAAATAGCTGTATCGAATGCAGTCTCTGGTGTTCTTTCGAATGGTGATATTTTTAACAGGGCTTATTGCACAAAAATTGGATTTGCCTCGAAAAACTAGGTTTCCGATCACATCTACATGATATTTGTGTCGAATACGTTGTGATGATTACTGACATGAGTTAGGTTAACAGCGGATTTACGGTTTTGGAAAAATATTCGTCTACTGGCTTGTGCGAATAAGATATTGACCGTACTAAGAAGAACTCCCTGCATACTGTGGCGTGGACATCTATTAAAACATCTAGTCCGAGATATCGGTTCAAAAGTAGGAAGTCTAATTTTCGAAAATTGATTCCAGCAGCAAACGGAGAATTTCTGGCAAATATTCGTTGCAGAAGTTGTGTCAATTAAGAAAATGTCTGCTACTTAGAACCCTATGCGATCTATCGATTAGTATGAAATTTTGGATTTTCCAATAGAAGAATCGACAAGTCGATTAGAAGCCGAGTACCAAGCAGAAGTTCTATTGTTCCTCAAAAAATTGTAACTGGATCTCTCCAGCATCAGTCCTCGACTTTTAAAACTTTTAAAATGTTCGGCATCTTATTGATAGATTTTTTCGTGATGGTTCTATTTATTGTTAATGTTAGTCATAGAGAATCTGCACAACCATCAAATCCAAAGGAAAATCTGAGAAACAGGAAGTACATCAACAAATCGAATTTTCATCGATACTAGCGCATAGTCTGAAATATGAAGCAAGTAATCACAGTACTCTAAGGCAGCAAGAAGTACACTTCTATTTTTATTTGCATCATGCTAAGAAGAGTATACCTGTGAACGCAGACGTTGTAGTAGTACTTGTTGCGACCAGTGTTGTTCCCATTATCGTCTGTTCCGTTGTGTTCCTTTTTCTTAAAACGACTGCTAATGTGATAGCAGCAGCTATCGCTATCAAAATAACAATAATGATGCCAAAGATCACGCGCTTCAGCATTATTTTGTAGAAACCACACGTCTAAAGTAATTTTCACTTTCCATTAATTACTAATATGAAGAATATGCAGGGCGATTTACTTATTTTTACTAGTTTTCTTTAGTCTACTGTATCTCAGCAAAAGGTCTGATTTATATTTTTATATGATTGACTATAGCATTCATTTTTCTATCTAATCATACATATATATATATTTATTTATTTGATTTAGTTATTATCGTAAGAAAAAAATAGTTAATAAATTTTAACACTAGTCGAAAACCCTTTTTCGCTTGCTTTTTCATGTTTTTCATTGGTTTTTTCCAGCTATTTCTGACAATCCAAGGAAATAAATCTTTTTCGTTGAATTATGGTCTATCGTGTGTTCATTGCCGATAAAGTAGTGTCATTTGAGTCCAATTTAGCTGAGTGTCTGGCATTAATTTTGCATTCTAGGACATGAAGGAAGAAAAAACTGTTTTTTTATTTTTCAAGGGAAAACGCCGGCAGACGAAATTTGTAAAAATTAAAATTAAAATTTCTCGATGACTCACTGTTGGAATTAAAATAGGTTATCACCCTATCAACCATTTCAACTCAGTGGGTTGAATTGAGTTATAACTGATTCAACAAGTTTTAACTCCAACAGTGTGATGACTACAAGATGATCTCATTTCATAATTTTTGTAGCT